TGAATAAAATCAAAAGTATAATAGATATCAAAAAATTGTAAATATACATTTTAGATATTTATAAATGACATATCATATTAAAATTTGAGCAAAAAATATTCATAATTGTGGCCACAATTTAAAAAATTAGATTTTTTGTGTGCTTATAATTCACGCATAATAAACATAACCTATGGGTCAAAAATGCCATTGAAATCAATGGAAGTTCATGGAGTGATTGGCTCTACAGGGTAGCCATCACTGTCCAGTGGGTGACAATATACTGTAATGGTATTTTACATAATGATTAGATGTTATATTATTATTTTAGATAGCAATTTGTGTTTTTATTTTGCAACCAAAAGACTGGCCACACGTTTACTGATTCGCACTTCATATGACATTTTGGTAAACATATAGTTCTAATTTTTTAAATTGTGGCCACAATTATGAATATTTTTTGCTCAAATTTTAATATGATATGTAATTTATAAATATCTAAAATGTATAAGTAGTGCAAGGTCGGCATACACCCCAGGTCGGCTTACCCCGCAGGTCAGTACGCCCCGCTCGGGTGTCCATAGGCTAACCATAGCTAACCAAGGCTTACCAGTGTACAGCCCTTTTAAGGAGGGCATAGCTAACCAGTTTCAAGTGTAGTACTTCTAACCAACAGATCATTGAAATGTTTGGCTTTTTAAAGTGCACGTAAAGTTATTACAAAATTAGTTTTAATTGTTGTTTAAATGATAAGTTACAACATTTACTATACCATCCATTAAATCGGTATTCAATTCATCACATTATTAATTGTACTCTAATTAAAGTGTTTGGCGACAAAACATTTACATTGATTTAGTTAACAATCATTTGGTTAATTGTTTTAAATTAAATTACAAAATAATGGTAGACTTTGTGTACATTTGAAACAATAAGAAAATTATTTATCTGGAATGGCTTTCATTATATTCAGTGATTTGTTCGTGAGCACAGATCTTGACGGCCCTATAAAGCAATATTATATTTGTGTTAATATTTTGTGCATTAATTGTATTTCAAATAAATGGCAAATAAATACCTGAAAAGACTGGCGTTTTGCTGGATTTCCGCTCAAAAACTTCGTTAATCATTTCGTATTTACGCTTATTATCCGAGTATTTGTCCAGAGAAATGGGAAGACCGGGGGTCCGGCTCTCCATATGCGCCAACGCCACCATCTGTTGCTTCGCCTTTTCGATCAACTCATCCGAAGTCATGGCCGATATCTCTTGTCTCGCTTTTTCGAACAAGTCGTTCGAAGTCATGGCCGCCACTTGACTGTCGGTTCCCTTCTCGTGAGTGATGGACGGCAACGGAGTTTGCTTTTTAGACCGCAGTCTCGGGTCAGTAGTCATCGACGCCGCGGCGCCCGACGGCTGCCCACCGGCGCCCACACCGACGGCGTCGCCGCTATTACGGCTATTACTACTACTACTGATGCCCGTCAGCGACGGTGTGTCCGACGACTTGGTCTGCGCCGCGTCGTCGTCGTCCTCATCGTCCAAATCCATGGCTTCGGGTGAGTCTCCAATCGGTTCTGCGGATCAGATAAAGTGACAAAATGAGAAAAAAATCAATTAATGGACAAAATCAATCAAAAATCAAAAAAATCCAATGGCCATCATATCCACTTAAATTATTTGCTATTACAACAACATATCCTTTCACCTTATGGGCTCGTTTTGACAAATCTTCAATAATAAAATTATTAAATCTTTCAATACAGAAAGTACCAGCAAACACTTGGTTTCCGCCTTTACATGTTGTACAATTAGGTCGGGAATTGTCTCTTTTATCGTCCCAACAGTTGGTACACACAATTTTAGCACAAACAAGGTTTGGTTTGTGTGAAATGATGTTGTTGTCGCGGATAAGCATTGACTCAATATCAAAACTAACAATGATTTTAACAATCTTGTCGTCTTCGCGAAGTTTGGCTGAGCTCAATGTCTTCAAATAGCAAAAATGCGGTTGTTCAGTGTAATATTCATTACAATTATGGCATTTGAATTCATTGCAAACGTGTTTGTGTTTATTATCGTTAATGAATGTTATGGCACAAATAGAACATTGGTTTGATACAATGCAAAGCTTGTTCTTTTTATGATTTTCAAAACATTGTTTATTTTGAAAATGTTTATTACATTCATTGCATTCGCGGTTTTGTCCGTCGGGCTGACATTGTTTGATAGATCGACAGTATTTGCAAATATTGGCACACATGTGATCAGTTATTGTATTGAATCCTTTATCACAATGTTTGCAATAATTGTTTTTCTGATAATAATTATTAATTTTCTTAATAAAACTATAATGCTGTTCAGTACTATCATACAGTAGAGATATTACATTGTCACAGTCTGGCCCTTTAAATTTCTGTTTGCATGATTTGTGATCGATGACGATAATTTGGTATTGGTCTTCAAAACAATTTTGAATTTGATTCAAAATTTCGGTATTCATTGGAGTATTAAAATTAAACCCAAGACGATTACACAATTCTTTTCCAGCCTTTATTTGTGCAATAGAATGTCCTATTAAATATTTCCATTCATTGTTGTCTTGATGTTTATCCAATTCATTGATATTAAGTTCGATGAATTTAATACCAATAGCTATTGCACAATTGCCACAACATTTCCCTTCGTTATATGTTGTGATCACACATCTGATTTTCTTAGGATCTCTATAAGCAGTTGAAGCTTTCTTTGATCGGCCCCTTCCTGTCATTGATTTATAAATATTGACGGTGACATCAAATAGGCCGTCAATTAAAAATTGAGTGTTTGATTGGGCAATTTTGAAGAGGGCTCTCAGAAATGATGTCTTATCAAATGTAGCAACTCTTTGAGGTGGAATATAAACAGGTTCAACAAATCCTGTGCAGTTAATTGTTATGGAAATGATATCGTTTGGATCGCAATTGCCAGTCAATTGATACACGGCCCCTTCAAAGCCTTCGTCAATCATTTCACAGAATTCTTTGAGATCCGATTTGTGTCTCACAGAATGAGTGACTTTGAATGTCTCTGATTTGATGAGCATTTGTAGGTGATCAGCTCGACGTTCAGTGCTATCACTGACTTGTTCCCATGAAAGGCTAGGAACCGTTCGCATTCCTTGACCTGAAAGTATTTCTTGTGATTGCTGTGACAGAGGTACTAGTTCTTGGTCTTCATCACTGTCTGAATCAAGTTCAATATCATTATCTGATATCATTTCATGATTTCCTGATTGTGATTGAAGACATGAAACCCATGAATCTGTCGACGATTGGTTTGTAAGGCATGTTTTCCATGAATCTTTGGATGATTGAGAGTAGGTCCAGTCCATTGGCTTTTCATCGTCTGATGGTATATCACTCAATGTGTAAGGTTGTCCTCTTGATGACTGACTCATTATTGTAATTGCTCAATAAGCAAAATTACAATAATTATTAGTAAAGTTATTTTTTAATATTTTAATACAAATACAATTGAATTAATTGTGCAATATGTAATAATTATTGCGTAATAATAATATCTATTATCTCTTATAGTAGCTTATAGTATTGGATTCTATGACCTACACTAACAAAACATATTTTTAAAAAATCCTTTTAATAGAAATGTTTGATGTTTACTCGACGACGGTCGGAAACGGACTGACGGATCATTCGCTGAGTTCCGCCTTTTATACTCGCGGAAAGCATTGATTGATACCTCTGCGCATGCGCAAACGCATGCGCAAACGTATGCTTAGTGCCGTGTGCAAATCAACTCATGACTCATTGCGCATGTTATGAGGTATGCTTAGTGCTGTTTTTGATGACGCAATACTATTTAATTTTGATGCAATATTATTAATCAATGATGCCTTGGTTACCCCTCCATAAAATGGACTATACCCTGGTTACCCCACCCTCCCTAAAACAGCTATACCTTGGTTAGCTATGCCCTCCTTAAAATGGCTGTACACTGGTAAGCCTTGGTTAGCTATGGTTAGCCTATGGACACCCGAGCGGGGCGTACTGACCTGCGGGGTAAGCCGACCTGGGGTGTATGCCGACCTTGCACTACTTGTATATTTACAATTTTTGATATATATTATACTTTTGATTTTATTCAAAATTTAGTATGGTAAAATGAACCCTTGTTTGGCTCTATACGGATCATATTAGATCCACTTATGACCAAGGTACAAATTANCACTACTTGTATATTTACAATTTTTGATATATATTATACTTTTGATTTTATTCAAAATTTAGTATGGTAAAATGAACCCTTGTTTGGCTCTATACGGATCATATTAGATCCACTTATGACCAAGGTACAAATTATTATTATAATTGCCAAATTTGAAAATGTTACCAAAAGGATAAAGTTCAGTGTTAATAGGTAAAATGCCAAAACTTTTATATTAAAATTTTTATATTTGCTTTTAATTAGCAAAATTAATTATCATTGTGAGCATAATTAAAATTGATATAAATGATGTAAAGTAATTATGTTAATCAAAATAAAAAACTTGCATAACTGTTACTAAATTTTGTAATTTTGATATACATGTAACTTTTACCCATTATGTCATATTTGGGAAATTCATTCATATTTCGATTCCTCTCATCCATACCTTTCCATTGATTAAAGTTACATATGATATACTTATTCATTAAATATAAGATTTGATATTCAAATATTTCCCGATAAAAGTGGTCACTGCAGCCAATTATGACCATTTTAGTGATTTAGCGCATACGGCGTATAGCATTGAAAAACTGTGTTTCACAAAGTGATAGGGCCAATCACCAGTACTGCATTGCTATACGCCGTATGCGCTAAATCACTAAAATGGTCATCATTTCATGGTCAGATATCTTCATATCAGCACGAGATATTCAATTTATATTTTTTATTTGGCTTAATCTACAATTTAAGACTAATTTGATCAACATGTGTGTTAGGTAAGGGCAGTACTGGCAGTACTTCACTTGTTAGCATTCAATTGACTAAAGAGGACTCACCCCAACCCACACAGTAGTATAGCTTAAAGGGCGCATCTTTTCTGAATATAGATATAGTTATGCGACTGTGAAGTAATAAGCCTTCGATGAACATCCAGTTAATACAGGCCAGCGCTGCGTATAGTTTGACTGAGATTACAAATTTACACAACAATTCCTATACAAATCAAATTAAACTTCAAAATTCTTAAATTCAATGATTATATAGTTTTACAATATCTCTATACGAAGAGATGCTGAAAATTGGTGGCAAACTAATTACTATTAGTAAAACTGAGTGTACAATCAATGCTAGAACTAAATTTCGGTGCACTCGTAGTCGTGAACATATCAATGATCTGTAAATAAATTCATTTCATTAAATTTCAATAAATATATTTAATAAGTTATTGAGATGTTATTAATGTAAAAATTAAAATTTATATCATAATAATTTATTTTATTTTTCATACAACTCTATTGGCTTAATATTGTATACTAGTGACCCAACCCAACCCGAACTTTAGCTTTAAATTTCAAACCCGACCCAACCCTAAACCCATACATCTCACACTCAGCGATGCTATGCGTTAACCACATTCGGGTGATACTCAAAAAATAGATTAGCATTTGTCCCATAGATTTACCATTGTCTGTCATTTACAATTTGTCTATAGGATTTCTATATTTCTGTAACTTATTTTTATTATAAAATATGTTTAAAATCTAAACTTTAGATTCTGTTAATGAATTTTATTATTGCTATGGCTAATAACTAATTAAATATCTATAAAATTAGAATAAATAATGTAATTGTAATATTAATTCAAAATAAGTAATAAAATTACATTATATTAAAATTCTAGCGTAAAACAAAAATAACTCACTTAAGGAGATATTTGTCGTTTATTGAATTTTAATTGAATAAAGAAAACAACATATCTAATAAGATAATAATCAATTACTTACAGTATATGAAAATAGCAATATTTGAAATAAAATTCAATATATTTTATATTTATATAAAGAATTTCACTTAAACATCAAATTTTAATATTAAAATTTGAACTTTAATATAACTGATAAAAATATTCACATATAGTTTTTGTACATGTATTAAGTTATATAAAACTTACTTGAAATAAAAGTAAATGAATAAAGTTACCAACAGCAGAACCAATGATAGGATTGAAAATATAAATAATATGTAACCAACAAATAGATGAACAGTTGGGACGATAGCCTATTATGACAAATATTTTTTGATTAAAATATTTATTACATATTGTAGACTATATTATAAAACACGAATGTGCTCTGGGGCAAAGATTAAGTCAAATCTATCATCATTTATGTATAATAATATTGTATTTCGTAATACTGTACTAATAATTAGTAATTTAATTATTAGACATCAGATACAATGGTATTGATCGGCAATCAAGTGACTACAATTACACGAGAAGTCAAGTCACTTTACATGCCTTACAACGGGTCGATTTCGGTCGGGCGCTACCATTGAAAAATGGTGTTTCACACAGTGCTTGGGTTAATCACTAGGGCTTAAACTTTATATCATTTTGGTATCATTTTCTATACATTAAAGTATAATCGATAGGTCAATACATTCATAGTTGTTTTTAATGTGAAATAAACAAATGACCTATCCTACAATATAAAGATCATCCTATATATCCTTTATAATAAAAACACAAGTTTAAGCCCTATTAATCACTAGTACTGCATTGCTATACGCCGTATGCGCGCAATCACTAAAATGGCCAAAATTCGGCCGTATCTTCCTATGAGCCCGAGATATTCACAACCATTTATTTTTATGCTTTAATTTACAATTTAAACCAAATTTCAACGAAGTCGACCAGTTGTAAGGGATGTACTTCACACGTTAGTGTAGCCACATGTCCAACTAAAATGTCTAGCTTAAATATATACATAATTGTTTGATTAACTTGACAATTAACAGTTATTTTACATTATAATTAAATATAATTATATTTCACATAAAGAGTACAAAGTGTTGAACAAATATTGTAACGTTGTATATGAATAGACGACAATTGTTTTCATTATTATAAATTAATAATTTGTTAAATTTAATATATAAGGGGTTTCAAAATCTTTTTGGCCACAGGGATTTGGCGATTACTCGGGAACCATTAAAGTGACACTAGTGTTACCACATAAAGGCATGTCGGCTTTTTGTAGCATAAAAAAATTTCAGTCACATGACTATTTTTTTAATCAATGGGTGTAATCCAAAACCTCAGATTAAATTCTCTTGTGGTAATTAAAGGGAGGGATGGGGTTAGGAGTAGATAAAGAAGCTGTCAAAGTGTTACACAAACTTAGACCCATTATGATTGCATTGCAGGTTTTTATCAATATGTATTATATATAGTGATGTTATTTTACACGTAATATTCATTTCAATCTTACGTTACATGTAATATTACGTAATTTACCGTAAGATTCCGTAAAATTCAACTTTTATTCAAGTAATTAATATGTGAATATTAGTGTTAANTACACGTAATATTCATTTCAATCTTACGTTACATGTAATATTACGTAATTTACCGTAAGATTCCGTAAAATTCAACTTTTATTCAAGTAATTAATATGTGAATATTAGTGTTAATTAACTATAAATTAGCTATCAATTAAAGATTAATTACATTTAATTTAGATTAAAGATAAAATATTAATTATATCTTCAAAATTGTTGTCCGTCATAATTACTAAAATTTTGCATCAATTAAAGCATTTGTTGACGGAATGACAAATAATGGTCATTTGTAAGTTACATGTAAGATTCACGTAATAATTTACGTGTAATTTACTGTAAATTATTTCGGTAAGATATGTAAGTTACATTCGTGACAACACTAATTATACACTAATTGTATATCAATATCAATAGTAAATTAATTAAAACGACCTATTTTTGTATAACCCATGGGACTGAAAAATAAAATTAGATTTAAATAAAGATTACAATGAATTATATTTTTAAATACTATATTTAATGCTGATAATGTTAGGGCAAAAATGTTTTAATAAATTATATTCTATAGATAAAATATTGTAAATTAAAATTTCTAGTTTTTATGGCTAAAACTAGATATTTAAATTTACGATATTTTGTGTTTAGATTAACATTTTTTGAAACTTTTGTGTGCTAACATTATCAGCATTATTGCATATTATATAAACAAATTAAAAAGTGTAAAATATTCAAAGAGTCATTATATCGATTACTTTATATAATTAGTATATCAATACAATATACTAATCCAATTAAAATGTGTCAAAATATATTGATTACAATAGTAAAACAGTTGATGGGATTAAGAAATACGTGCAGCACTGCTAACGCTAATGAGTCAATAATGCGTGAAATCGATGAAATGCAAACACATTGTGCGATACTTATTAGTGATTTTTAATTTTGACAAAAAAACTATTTAAATAATTTCAACAACTAATCGATTACGAGATATACAGTTGATAATGAGTTATTAATGGCTAGTAATAATAATTATCTAATAATAATAATAATAAATATTAATAAATTTTACTATAAATTCAAAATGCTATGACTTAACCACAATTCGGGCGATGCTCAAAGAATCCCATAGACTTGACATTAGCTCATAAAAATATCATTACTAGAGCTCAAAATATTCGGGAATTCCAGAATAAAATTAGATAATATAATGTTCAAAAATAACATCCAGTTAGTCTTAGGTATAATAATAGAATGAAAATAAATTACTTTGAATTCCCAAATATTCCCCATTTTGGAATATTTGGAGAAAATTTCCGATTTTGACATATATGACTATCCGATTATAACCTCACCTTTATAGAAAAATATTTTGTAAAAATATTATTTCTCATTAAAAATTTTAACGAAATACCAAAAGTTAATACGAGAAGTTGTTGTAAAGTTCAAATAATCTGTGATAAAGAGATTTCATGAACGCCACACCCACAACATGTAACAATTTAAAATATTCGTTCAGATAGAAGAACAAGAAGAAAACATTTTTATGTTATTGTAAAACATCATTCATTTGTAAATGATAGTAATGTATAAGTATTGTGTTTGAATTAAATAAGCATTAATTCCCAAATTTGCCTGTTTTACTCCCGGTTTCCGATCGATTTTGCACGTTTTTATTCCCGAATATTGTGAGCTCTAATCATTACCCATTGTAGGAGCATTGCTATAAACTTAACATTACCCATGTTAAAGCCTTAAATTTAAGTTGGAGTTTTATGGTAAATCTTATAGAGTAAGGAGCGGGAGGGGTGGATTGCCTTACAATCTTATAACCACATTATTCTATACAAAATTGTGGTTAAAAATACTTTTGTATACTTTTAAAAATTCATCTTATATTGTTTTGTCTCAACTATTAAAAAGTTGATATTATAGTGAGATATAATAATCTTATGATTACTTACATCTGGCTGAATGTAATCCAGACATTGAGTATAATTAGTCCAATTGCCCCAAAGCCAGTGCCCCTTATTATCGCATTCTCTATATGCAAACGGCTCTGTCATCCAAATGATATAAATTTTGTTAATAATTAATTGTTATATAACAAGAGTTACTGAATGTATAAATCCTAAAATAAGGGTTAATTTAAAAAACTGTTTTGTACCTGTGCCGTTAGAACAGCAAACGTAATCATTGATTAGTGTTCAGTACAGTTAATGTTATCAACACAAAAGTGATGTAAAACTACACATCATTTCAATACAAAGATAGCCTTGAATTAAATGTTTTAAACTATTATAAAGAGCTAATAATTTTAAAAAAAAATATTACTTCTTTTATATATTTAGTATAAATAACAACATTTTTTAAAATAACATAAAGAGCACTCATTATATAATTTAAATTAATTCTTGCATTGATTAAAATTTTAATTTATTTATTTCCAGTAAGAAGGGAGAGAGAGGGAGAGAGAGAGAGAGAGAGAGAGAGAGAGAGAGAGAGAGAGAGTATTTGTAAAATACGGTATACTAAATATACACTTGTTTTACGAATATATTCAAGGATATATACTAATAAATTGTAATGGAGTTTAGTGTTTCAAATGTAAAACACCATTTAATTTTAGTTTAAATATTGGTTATTAGAAATGATCTAAAAGTATATATTTTTAAAGATATATAAATTAATTATAATTTGTAGTTTTAATAGTAAATAATTGAGATTATATTAATTTAATTCAAACTTAGGCTTAATAATGATAAAATAATTTACAAATTGTGGTTAATACTGGAAATAAATAAATTAAAATTTTAATCAATGCAAGAATTAATTTAAATTATATAATGAGTGCTCTTTATGTTATTTTAAAAAATGTTGTTATTTATACTAAATATATAAAAGAAATAATATTTTTGTAAATAAGAAATTGGATTCTGAAGTGAATTTATATTGAAGTGAATCACAGTATTATTATTTGATCTCTACTTTACTCCACTGTATAGATTCTATACTATAAAGCAATACTCTAATGTAAACCACATTATGTGGAGTTTGTATGTGATTTGTGAAACTAAGCAATCAAATACTAGAGTAGAATAATTGTGAAATATATTTATAAATAAAATACTTAGGAAAAGAAGAAATGGATTTGAAGTGAAAGTAAATACAGTTTTAGTGAATTTAACCCAAAGTATGAAATTCAAGAATATCAGCATTTTATGAATGTTTGGTCTCATTGTAAGCACTTGTCATAAACTATACAAAAGATGTTTTATTTAAAGTTATTGTTATATTATATAGTGTTATATAATATATGTATGAAAGTAAACAAATGTCAAGCCATGAGTTTTACAGCACAGTATGACAAAAGCTTAAACAGAACTAAACCGATTGGAACTCCATTACCGGTGCATAGAGTGGAAGGTAGTGCCAGAATGACAGGTCTCACAGCATCCGTGTCCATACAAATCAATGAACCCAAACCCAAACATATCCATACTCTACATACAGTATTGCTGGACATGACGTTATCGGCAACATCTATGACACTAAAGTGGAAGTTTGAAGTAATCACTAAAACCAGATCCAAACGTATGTCCACTTTAGCACACGTGAAAAGAGAGCGCCGTTCACTTGAATGGCTCATTAAATTACGAAGATATGGCACTCTTGAAGTCAATGCATATCATGTTAGGGATGATAATAACTCTATAGACGATATACAAGTCCATAATCAGACATATAATTATACAATCAAAGGCCTACAGCCGAGCACAGCATATGAACTCTGCATTCACTCAAATCATGCCATCACTGATATAATGCATTTTGTGGTCAACTCATATCACAACGATTGGCACATTTGTAAAGAAATCATAACCAATGAACAACTGGACAGCGAAAGAATAGCCGACATCGCCGTCGCTTCAGTCATCGCATCGACCGCATCGACGACTGTTATCGTTGTGATTGTGTTTTGCTGTTGTCGTAACACTAATCACAGACAAAGAAGTAACACATCAACAATAAGACCAAATGGATCAACACGTGCAACACGTGCAACACATGCAACACAACGTTATCAATGTTGCAACCCATGCAAGTGGTTGAGTACATCTCCACAAAAGCACTCATATATGTCCACATCTTCTCTAAGTAGAACTCAAAGTAAAATACATTCAAATCAACTTATTTTTAATCCAGTTATTAATAGCGTTAAAACCGACGACTTTTATATTAATAAAAATGATATTAAATGTATAACTAAAAAAAATATAAGGGTTTTTAGGAAAAAACCTAAAGAATTGCTTAATTCAACTAATTCTATGTCAAATATTAGGGATAATATAACAATAACATCAATGTTCACCAGACGTTATGCTCGACCAAACAGTTGGCCAATGGTTGTGGACATCGATAAAACATCCCTTAAAACTCATTTAAATATTGAAAATATAGCAAACAATGCTAATTATAAACTATGGTTTAATAGTCTTTCTTCTGGTGCTAAGAAAACTAGAAGTGATTCACACATAGACTTTGTATAATAAATGATGCAATAAACTTTATTGAATAAAGTAATGTTATATTAAATAATATACATATAATATTGTAAACCCAAGTTCCAAAAGAACATGTTTCATTATAAATAATAATAAAAATTCTTTTGGTTTTCTGAATCTTTTAAATCTTTTAAAAATCATGAATACTGTGCTATC